TCAGTGCTCAAAATCCATTTCAACCTCTCATCTTTCAAACTCATTCAGTGTAATGAAATGAATTGAATGTCTATGTGATTGTGAGCCCAGACCCACCCCTTGAAACACATAGTTCTTATTAAAATGATAAATTGCTCCGCACTGGAGGCCCCCACTGCTCAACCCAGTCACCATAGCAACAGCCAGAGCTCTGTTTGTGAGCTCTTTCGCAGACTTCACGATAGTTGCAGTGGATGGCGTGGGCACTGCTCGTGTTTGGAGAACGTATGTAGGCGTCAGAGTTGACTAGGTGGAAGAAGCATATACTGATGCCAGGTGAACCATCGGCTTTCTGACACACAAAAAAACATTATTACATAAGCAGCGTGTGTCTTTGCCTAATGATCATTTTGGAATCAAATAAGAAATTATTTGCTAGGGCATCCACTTTGGTACTGTAACACTTAAGTTCCAATGAAGATATAGTGTAACAAGGTTTAATAGATAAATCCAAAAGGGCAGCCAACATGCGAGACAGTGTGCTAGTGCACAGACAATACCGGACAAGGAGTGCAGGTGAAGGAACAACTTAAGTATGAACACAAACGAGGATAATTACTTAAACACTGACACATATGACCTAATAATGATGGTAGCCTAACCAAAGAGAAAAACGAGTGGCGGGAATCTCAACAAAGAAGACAAACTGAAAGTCCATGGAACATAACGGTGACAGGTAAATTCAACTGTCAAATGTTAGAATTAAATTTACAGAACATTTAGGGACAGATTTACTTACAGCTTGCGCCAGCGAAAAAAAAAAAATACTGTCAGGATTTACTAAAGACACGCTGTGCAATATTATTGTTATGATTTCAACCCGTGTCCCCCTGTATTGAGTGTTCCTGGACTTTTATGTTATTTCCTGTCTTCCTTCATGTTTTGCAGTTCCTTGTTACTTTAATGTTGGTTGGCCCTGTCCCAATATCCACACTACGCCCTAAGGTCTTCCTCGAAGTGGACGCTTGTTGAAAGCTGTGAAGAGCAGAATTGGGACAGTTTTGCACACGCCACTATCTACGTCACTTCTGTTGTGATCAGGAGAGCAAACACCGTTCATTTGGCTAATGTGTGTGCTGCTAATAATAGCTGTAACATGACACAATCCTTCGAATGAAAAAATGTATATCTTTTTTACTCTTAAGTACCAACCTTTCTGTTAATGTTATTCATATTAAAAAAAAATTTGGCTAAGATAAATTGTGATATAAACTAAACTATGAAGTGATGTAAACTATACTGCATTATACTGAGAGCTGTTCCTAATATGTTGTCAATTTGGTGAGTGAGTGTGGAGAAAAGTGAACAATTTTCACTTAAAAAGACATTTCTTCTCCATTTGTTTGTCCTCTTGCCGGCTTCCTTTTTCTTCAGAGTTTTCCCGCTGCCGACCAGCACCATAGCAACCATTTTGCTCCCCCATTGGTTAGCTGTTTGAAACGTCACGACACTACAAGGATTCTGGGTAATAGCCCATTGCAAAGTAAAGTCTGATGCGCACTTGCGAAAGGGGTGCATTAAGTGCGCTGATGATCACCCCTGCCCTGGAGAACACCATTAGAGGATCGGGACATCCTGCGGGACACCTTAGAGAGAACGCGCATTGAGGGGCACAAGGGCGGAAGTGCGGATATTGGGACAGGCCCGTTGACTAGTCTCCCCTGGTGTTTCTTATTAGCCACGCCCCCTTGTTATCTTGTTCTCTGTCAGTCGTTGAATGGACATTCCCTGGTTTAGTGTGTTTCCTCCTGTTCCATGTTTTCATTTGTTTTCACCAGTTACTTTGTGTTCACACTTTAATAAATCTAACCTGCACGTGGATCCGCTTCCCAGCCTGCTTCTTTGCCTGTCTCAAATGTTACAGTTATCACCGAAAAGGCGTGGACAGGGTCATTTTTGCGGCTGATCTTTTTGCATATGCATTTGTAGGAGTTTCTCTTTCAGAAGCAAAATTTATGGGAAACGCAAAAATTGACTGTATACGCCATTATTTACCACCCCCAAAAAGAAAACACAGCTTAAACCAGACGCCAACTGGTAGATTGCGCTGGTTGTTATGAAAATGTTCCGGCTGCGTCTGTGTTCTTAATTTCTTAAAGTCCAGCAAATGCAATAGTGCTATTTTTTCACTGTGTGTCTTTAGTAAATTCTGACGCCAAAAGAGGGTTTGCGCTGGCGCAAGCTGTTAGTAAATCTGGCCCTTATTCGTTTAGCAGACTACATCTGCAGTGTGTTTGAAATGTAGCAGTGAAATACAGACAGATCTTTAAAAGTTACACTGTAAACCCTAATGCTCAAAATAATTAATTGGTTTGAGTAGGACAAACTTAAATTAAACAAATTAGTTCAGTCAAATTAACTTTTATGAGTATTTAGCACTTTCTTTTTCTTTCAAGTTCACTGAACTGATATATTTTAAGTAAACTGAACTGTTTCATTGTTTTGAGTTTTATGAAATTATTTATTTTAATTTAGACGAACTTAAGTTTAACTGAAACAGCTGGGATGTCTATTTCCCAGCATGCTTTGCCGATGGCACTCGAAAGGGAGAGTAAATGCTAAAATTAAGTGTAATATAATGTTTTTTTGTGTGTAAGATTAATGTTATGTGTGAGATTTAGTAGTGATTCATGTTTTGTTATGCTAATTTAGAAGAATTTCTGTTAATGTTGGCTTTAGGATAGTTACCATCATGGTGACAAGTGGTGCATGCAGCTTGATTTGAGAGCAAATACTCAATTTATATTGCTGTGCTCATACAGCAAGTGTTTCTGTATAACATACTATTGCTAATATGTTAGCATTTACTATGTTAGCAGATTAGCTTTTTAAAGCTAACTAAGTTCATACTAATAAAAGTATTTTGAGTTGCTAACTTATTTGGGTTTACAGTGTACTTCATAGATTTAAGTTATATTAACTGAATGGAATTAGTACTATTAACTTTATTTACCCAAGTTATCTTAACAATAAGTTATTGAGTTACTTGAACACAAATCAAATCTTTTTTTAAGCTTAAATTGTTTGAGTTAATAAACTTAAATGATTTAAGGCAATCGGTTTCCTCAAACGGTTTGAGTTGAACTAACTCATCAGGTTTTACAGTGTAGTGCCTTTAAAACATTTTTAGGTTGCTTGACATTCATTTGGACTGAAAGAAAGCTAATTGTTGATGCCTCGAGAGGAGAAAAGAACATCATTTGTGCTTCTTTGCAGTACTACTACTCACTTAGAGGATTGCATGGCAACAGTATAATTAAACCCCAAGTGTGGGATGCTGTCTAGGCTTCATAGATGTCTATGTTTCATTTTTTTTTTTTCTTGGTATAATAATCATTACTCATAAACCCCTGTGTTCTTTTAATCTAAGAAATAAAAATCTGTTACAAATAGTGTACTTTGGAATAGTAGAAAAGTCTTCTGATTTTTTTCTTCTTCTCTTCCTGCCCTTAATGACATCCTGGCTGCATATGAAAGTTTCATATTCAAACTCATTTTATATTTAGGAATGCTTGCACTGCCAGTGCTTTGGTTTAATCTGCATTTAATAAGATTTTAAAGTATGACCTCAGCAAGTCTTGCAAATGCTAGAATAAAATGCTCTGGGCTACAAATGATCTCTGGTGGAGCGATTAAAAAATCCAGTTTTAATGAGAAATCAAGCTATTTAAAAACCAGGTCCTAAATGCTGGCTTGTCATATTTTAATCCAACTGTGCTCTACACTCTACATCAACACACACACACACACGTATCTACAATTTGGTTTTCGTAAAAACACGAAAATTCGAACATTGTTTATTTTGTTGAGCATTAATATATTATCGCATTTATCTTTTTCCATGAAATTCCACAGGTGAAATGAAACAGATGTTTGTTTTATTTTATTCCCCTGTATCCTGCTGACAGAAATACGAAATGCATGTTTGGTGTATTATGTTTGTGTATGTGACATCATGGGGTCTGTGAGGCCCGACCTTAAGAAGCGGCTCCTCGCATCAATCGAGAGCTTCTTCTTTTCTTTTCTTTTTTTGCATTAAAGTTCCTGACACCCTGCAGCTCTTACCTGGTTTACTAAAACTAAGCATGCTTGACCAATGCCTGGATGGGAGACTTGTTATGAGAATTAATTTGCTGCTAGAAGTGAGGCCAAAAGTGTGTTTGTGTGTGTGTGTGTGTGTGTGTGTGTGTGTGTGTGTGTGTGTGTGTGTCTGTCTGCTAATGCTCCAGCGATGAGGATGATACTGTACACTGTGAAAAGGCACCATTCTTTGAATCATGGTCATTGAAAGAGAAAGCAAGACATGTCCGTTGTCTTGCTTGGCAGATTTAAAACTATGTAGCCAGTAAACTGCCTTCCTGTGATTTGTAATTGTTTATAAGTAATGTTTATAAACCAAACGTTACCTTACCTTTCAATGTACATCATGGCCAAATGTCAACTAATTGGTTCAGAATCTTAATCTCCAGCACTATCCTGCTGTAGGCCACCAGATTTACACTTTATAATTTGAAGAAAACATTTGCAGTGCATTACAAATTACAAACATTGTAATTTACTGCAGCTTGTTTATTGTTGTCATATATGTTTCTTTTTTCAGAAACTGCATCAACAGCACGAAGCATCCATTAAGGACAACCATCTACAGAGATCCAGGAGTAGCTCAGAGCACCGGAAAGAGAGAGCTGATGCACACAGAATTCAACCTGCAGTGACAGCTGCACATGTACATTATAACAGATTGGAATTCTTTACTGACAAGGCTTCACTTCCACCTTGACGACACTCACATAACATGCATCAAGTTCATCTAGAGGAGAACCTCTGGGAAACAGCATGACAAGGAGATCGCTAACTATTACATATAAATCCCAGAGAGTTTGTAGAAATTATTTTTGTGATTTACAGCAAAAAAAAAAAAAAAGTTTCTTTTGGGGAAAAAAGTCTCATTATGGTCTCATTATGACACATACAATGTGGGACTTGCAATCAATGTGTACTCCATTAGGCTATAAGGTAAATTATGAATTTTAAAAAATACTTTCCTTATAGAGTCCAGCTCAGTCCTATATTCCTTTGGAATACCTCACAGACATTCCATTTCACTTCAATTGTCAACACACATAGAGATGAAGTAATTCATAAGTGCTTATTCAAAGTGCTTCCATATTTTCCACTGCTTTTTCACAGAATGTTTTCAGTAGATTTGCAAAGTGTCCAGAACGCATCAGCAATTATAGTCAGATGTAGAATGAAGGACATTACCCTTTTGCAAAGCAATTATCATTCATAAAGAGCCAACAAAACACTTTAACTTGGTTTTCACCATGAGGGTTACAAGGCAATATATATATTTTTTTTTTTACAACATACACTAAACAATCGTGCGTAAACACATATACACATAAATTCAACTTGACATCTCAGTCACACGTTTATGTAAGTCAAGTATGAACAAAAAGAGCAGCAATATAAATAAACCCGAATCTGCCTTGTAGGAATTTGAGAATATAAAGATAATGTAAATACAATAAAGCTGAGAGGAATTTTTATGATGAATTTTTATAGTTTGGTTTACCCTCAGAGGGCAAAACCATTGTGCTCTTAAGTCGTCAGAAGCAGCATCACCTGAAAGCTCTCCTGAAAGCTCCACTGACTCAAAGTGTAGTGAATCCGGTCATTCAGATATTCCTCATAGAATCAAGTAAATAATTTAAAACCAAAAGACAAAAAAGTTTTAACACATGGTCACTCTTTGAAATGCCTGCCGCTTTGTAGCTTTCTGTAGTAGTTTTCCTGTTCAGTGTGGTTCTGATTGCCCTCCCTGTCCAGCAAAACTAGAGGGGTCTTGCGGCGCAGACTGCGACCTTCTGAGATTTGACCCACAGGTGGGAGTTGAGGGGGAAGTGGTGGCTGGGGAGGTTGAGGGAGCTGGGGCGGCCCGTGGTCAGCCTCACTGGCAGAAGAACAAGGAGAGCTGCTCCTGATATGACGGTAACTCCGGGAACTCTCACGGTTGAGGTTTTTGAGCTCGTATGACTCTGCCATGTTTCCATCACAAGATCCTCTCCACTCCCATGGGTTATTTGGATTTGAGGTCATACGAACTACAGGGTGGTGGGGGGCATGGGCATCAACGGTGATGATGCCTGAACCGCTGTCACGTTCCGAGCGATTGGGTGATGATTCTGTGCCCGTGATGGACGAGGTACCAGAGGAGGACGAAGTCTCAGAGGATTTTGCTGATCCAGACAGGAGTCCCTGTTGCTTTGACATGGCAATGACCTGCATGATCCGAGGCTGATTTCCTGGCTTTATAACTGGAATATTAGCACCACTTTTCTCAGTGATGGACAGCCATTTGGCCCGAGTGCTGGCACTTTTAGGGGATACAGGCGGGGGAACTGGCTGCCCAGGGGGACGAGGGGGCATCACTACTCTTGCACCTGCAGGTGGGTTAGCTGGTTTGGTAGTTTGTGGAACAGACGAATAATTTGAAGAATGGACGCTGTCCTCCTCTGTGGTCGTGTCGTCACCACCGTCTGAGCCCTGCTCGCTGGTGTCCTCATCGGGCAAGCTGCCACCTCGCATCTCCATTGACTTTTGCTTCCATTCAGATACTAATTGCTGTGACCGCATGGGGTCCATTGGTACAGGTACTGTCACCAGACGCCTTGTTGGCTCCTCTGGAGCTGTAGCACGGGGTAATGTATTACTGAAGGTTACCATGGTCTCCTTACCCATTGGGCTGCGAGGCGCCAGTAGCTCCACGTCCACACTGGCCCTCTTTAAGCTTCCCAACGAGGTTTTCTCTCGCTGTACAGGACGGTTCAACCCATCTAGAGATGCTGGTAATGTGATTTCCTCATTGCTCTCAGAGGCATGGCCCTTGTTATAGACAGAGTCATGACCTCGCTGGGCCAGAGCCCTCAAAGCATCCTTCTGGAGAGGAGGGGGTTGAGGGATGACAGTGTCCTCAGGAGATTTAAAGTTGGCAACAGCATGGAAAGCCTGGAATGAAATGGAATGGATCCATAATTCTAATTGGCAAAATCACAGTCACACATTTGGTTAATGCTTTAATCCAAGGTAATGGTTAATTACTAGAGGGTTACTTCAGTTTCAATCCTGCATCAACACTCATACATGTAATTTTTATGTAATCATTTACACCTTGGTTACCAGCTGTATTAATTAGGGTTGTAGCTGAACTCTGCAGGATGGTAACCCTCCAGGAATAGGATAGGCTGATACCCCTGATACTGTTTAAGCTACAGCAGGTGTTTTCAAACAATTATTGAAGCCTACCTAGCACTGCACATTTTGGGTGTCACCCTTATGTAACCTGGCTGAATTAACTCATTAGATGATTACTTGAGTACTCTATAACACTCGGGCCCTCAAAAAAGCAGCCAGAAAAATGGAGAGCAGCTGGAGGAAAACAAAACTAGAGATTTTCGCATTTCATGGAAATAGAGTGCACGGTTGCGTTAAGACAGGCCTTAAAAACTGCTAGATCTGCTTATTTGTCAACCCTCTTAGAAAAAACAAATACAAACCTAGGTTTTTATTTGATACAGTGGTTAAATTAACAAGAAATAAAGCTTCAACCCCAGATGTTTCCAAACAGCACAGCAGTTATGACTTTATGAACTTCTTTACTTGTAAGATTGATCATTTTAGAGAGAACTATATGTATATGTATACTAACTATTATAACTATGCAACCGTCTATACTACAGTATTACATCAGACCGTGCATTGTTGTGTCCCTGAGTAAAAATTACATTCATTCATTGCTATAGGAGAGTAAGAATTGTCTAAACTCGTTAAATCATCTAAATCAACAACAAGTATGTTAGACCCTACCGACTAAACTACTGAAAGAAATGCTTCCAGAGGTCATAGATCCTCTTCTTAATATAATTTATTCATCTTTGTCATTAGGATACGTACCAAAAACTTTTAAGCTGGCTATTATTAAACTGCTTTGCAAAATGCAAAGAAATGCACAAAAAAAACTGCGTTGCAAAAATGCAACTTGATCCTACAAAACTAGTCAATTACAGGCCTATCTCGAATCTTCCTTTTCTGTCAAAGATACTAGAAAGGGCAGTTTCCTCACAACTATCTTCCTTTTTAGAAAGAAATGTTATCTAGTATAGTGTCCTAGACTAAGAACCTAGAATACTGTCTAATCTAAAACCGCATTCTTCCATCTTAAAAATATATTTAAATTACGACACATGCTCTCAATGACCAATGCGGAACAGTTAGTTTATGCGTTCTTGACCTAGAGGCTAGATTATTGTAATGCTCTAATGGGTGGTTGCCCTGCATGCTATATAAACAAACTCCAGCTGGTCCAAAACGTAGCAGCTAGATTAGAGGTCTGCTACCCGACCCGAGCCCGACGGGTCCCGAAAAATGTGCGGGTTTCGGGTCGGGTTCGGGTTAATGTTAATGAACAGCCTCGGGTTCGGGTCGGGTTCGGGTTTAACTAAGAAAAACTAAATAGGCTATATATAGTTTGCGTGCCGTGTGCTTTGCCTGCTTGCTGTGTTGTGGTGACCGGCACGCGAGAGAGAGAAAGTATAGGCTACGTGCGCAGATGTGCAATATGTGCGCGATTTTCTCTCTCTCAAATATAATGATATATAAATATAATTTTTTTAATTATTTGTTTTATTTTATCATATCATTTATATCACAAAACTGTTTTGCGCATGTGCTACCGCTCTCGCGCCCTATTTCAGTAACAATACAGACAGCCGACGACAACAAGCAAACCATGAGTCTGATAAAGCAAAAAATTACTTGGTAAGTTTTTTCTCTTACTGCTGTGCTGCCTGCTGATAGGGCCGCTGCGCCTACATGTATTTGTTTAATATGTCAGTCAAGCAATCATTAAATACAACATAGCATATTGCAAAAATGGTATTGCTGTGAGAAACAGAATGGACCTCGGGTTCGGGTCGGGTTCGGGCTTAATATGTAAATGTAATTGTCGGGTCGGGTCGGGTCGGGTCGGGTTAAATGATCGCAGGTACGGGCCGGGTTCGGGCTTCAGTTTAAAGCCCGTGCATACCTCTAAGCTAGATATCTTACTAGAACCAGGAAGTATGACCATATTAGTGTTCTGTCAACACTGCATTGGCTCCCTATTAAACATTGTATACATTTTAAAATCTTGCTAATTACTTACAAAGCACTAAATGGTTTAGTTCCCCAGTACTTGAGCGATTTCTTAATGCATTATAGTCCTTCATGTTTATTGTGATCTCAAAATACTGGCCAGTTGATAATACAAAGAATATCAAAATAAACTGCTGGCAGTAGATCCTTTTCTTATTTTAGCATCTAAACTCTGGAACAGTCTTCCTAGTGTTGTTCAGGAAGCAGATATGCACCAAAATGTGCAGTGTTGGGGAGGCTCCAGGAACAATTTGAAAACCTATCCAGAAATTTGATTTAGCCAAGTAGGATCACTGTGTTCCTGGATCAATGTTATTGCTTTTAAAACTGTATAGCCACTCGGCAGCCATATTTGCAACGCCTCCGGGCAGCTATTTCGGAGCATCCAAGATCAAGTCCTATCTATTTTAATGGTGGAATCCTAAAATCTCAAAAACTGCTTGCTGAACTCACCAATAAATAACGTATTTCAAATCAGCAACAAAATCTGACATGAACTGTCCCTTAAATGTTGTTTCTTATGCCCAAATAGCGTTAAAAAAGATTATTTTTCAGGCTAGACCAGCGCAATGACGTAATGACTTTACCAATCAACGATTGGCTTTTTTCCTTAGAAGGCAGCAGAAGGCGGGACGTATTCCGCCATATTGCGCGTTGCAGTTTCTCCCATTCCTAAGTAATAGGATTGAATTGTCTTTCTATATAGTCTTTGGGTCCAATTCTCAGGCAATACAAGATTTGGTAAAATGTATAGCTTGAATCCAATGTAAGTTGCATCCTTTTTTAGGATAAACTCATGTCAAATGTAAACTGCCATAGCCCTAATCCTGAGGGAACAGATAGTTTGCTGAATGTTGTTGAAGCACCTATCCCCAGGTTTTGCCCAACCCAAAACACTAAAATCTGATTAGTTGGTTATAATGTTGCTCCTGAACCAACAAGGATTTTGATGCAGGAACATGTTCTACATGGGTAAAACACATTAAGCTCATTAGCAACCTGGCATGACATTACATGGGGGATGGCTGTCCAAATAAACTACACCACTGATACAATAGACATCAGAAAATCAATCACTCACCAGGTACGCAGCAATACCAGCGCCAATACAGAACCCAACATACACATCGATGGGGTGACTGCGGTACTGGGTAATCTGAGTGAGTCCCGTCAATGCAGCCGCAATGGCAAAGGCAAACACCAGAACGGGTTTGAGCAGCTTGGTGCTATCTGAGATTGTTGAGTTGAAGTACATCTAGAAGAGTAGAGAGCAGCAGAGGTCTCCAGCTGTCATGTCCAAATTAATAACAAGCTGGCTTACAGCTTCTGAAAGTCTGACAGGCGCAAGGTGGGAAGCAGTAACAACTTATCTCCATGCCTGTCGCTTGAAGTGGATCCTGCTAAGTACCTAGACATGTGAAGTGCTTACTTATAATTAGACTTCCACTAATCTAGCGAACATAATGCAACTGAGCATATTAAATCAAACCATAAATGTCTTAAAAATTTGAGGAGTGTTGAAATCTATCACTTGTGTCAGTGCATGTGCCGTGTCTTTTCTATGCACATCTAAAGTACAATTCAATATTATGTTGGTTGTTCATTATTTCTATCTACAGGACAATCACTTTAAACTGTACTAAATACTCTCTTTTAATACTTTTTAGGAATTTACAGCACTAGCCTATTAGGTTTATATACAAACAGTATTTGCTGTAAACATTGAGTAAACACACATTGACACTGTGTCGAAGAGACTTACTGAAATATAAACAGCAGCAAAAGAAGAGAGGGTTGCATGCTGGGAAGGGAAGGTTTTCCTGTCACAAAGGAAAGCAAACATCTAGAGTAAGTCTACACAAGATATGCATCAGAAGTCAATGTTAAATGTTTAGATTTTTTTTTAAAAAGGGGGAGATTAGGGAGTGCTCTTCAGGAAGAAAATCACAAAAGGGAAAAAGAAAATGGTGATTGTACAAGGTTGGAGTTAATCACAGTTAATCACATAATTGGATGTAATTTAGTAGCAACACACTCAATTACCTGGCCGATAGAATAGCATGCTGATCCTGGCCAGAGCAAATGTCTTTGGTGATGTAAGGGTTCTTGTCACAGGATACACCTGGGACAGTGTAATTGGGTTTGCACACTGTGAGAAAGAATGGTGTGTGGTAGCCAGTGGCTAGCTGGATGACATCAGTAACCAGTGCTGTTGCACAAAGCCCAAACACATGAACACCTACAAGGAGAGACAGATCATGAGGAATAAAACATTGATGATTCATTTCATCGGTTTCATGTAACACTCTGTGACTCATGTTACATAATATTCATCTGCATCATTCCTATTCGGATTTCACAAGTTCACACTTACAAATAATTAGATAGAGTAAAAGAGTATGCGTATTTGGCGCATGCTGTCCGGGTGAGGGCTCCGAGCTCGGAATGTGGCCCGAACCCAGTGTGCCCCAGGCTGGGATAGTAACCAGCTGGGAGTGAGGAGTCGGGTGGTGAAGGGATGCAGAAAAGTCGAGGAATGGAGGTGAGTCGGCTATACACTCACCTAAAGGATTATTAGGAACACCATACTAATACTGTGTCTGTGGCCGAATACCTTTCGCCTTCAGAACTGCCTTAATTCTACGTGGCATTGATTCAACAAGGTGCTGAAAGCATTCTTTAGAAATGTTGGCCCATATTGATAGGATAGCATCTTGCAGTTGATGGATATTTGTGGGATGCACATCCAGGGCACCAAGCTCCCGTTCCACCACATCCCAAAGATGCTCTATTGGGTTGAGATCTGGTGACTGTGGGGGCCATTTTAGTACAGTGAACTTATTGTCATGTTCAAGAAACCAATTTGAAATGATTCGAGCTTTGTGACATGGTGCATTATCCTGCTGGAAGTAGCCATCAGAGGATGGGTACATGGTGGCCATAAAGGGATGGACATGGTCAGAAACAATGCTCAGGTAGGCCGTGGCATTTAAACGATGCCCAATTGGCACTAAGGGGCCTAAAGTGTGCCAAGAAAACATCCCCCACACCATTACACCACCACCACCAGCCTGCACAGTGGTAACAAGGCATGATGGATCCATGCTCTCATTCTGTTTACGCCAAATTCTGACTCTACCATCTGATGGTCTCAACAGAAATCGAGACTCATCAGACCAGGCAACATTTTTCCAATATTCAACTGTCCAATTTTGGTGAGCTCTTGCAAATTGTAGCCTCTTTTTCCTATTTGTAGTGGAGATGAGTGGTACCCGGTGGGGTCTTCTGCTGTTGTAGCCCATCCGCCTCAAGGTTGTGTGTGTTGTGGTTTCACAAATGCTTTGCTGCATACCTTGGTTGTAACAAGTTGTTATTTCAGTCAAAGTTGCTCAGCTTGAATCAGTCGGCCCATTCTCTTCTGACCTCTAGCATCAACAAGGCATTTTCGCCCACAGGACTGCCGCATACTGGATGTTTTTCCCTTTTCACACCATTCTTTGTAAACCCTAGAAATGGTTGTGCGTGAAAATCCCAGTAACTGATCAGATTGTGAAATACTCAGACCGGCCCGTCTGGCACCAACAACTATGCCACGCTCAAAATTGCTTAAATCACCTTTCTTTCCCATTCTGACATTCAGTTTGGAGTTCAGGAGATTGTCTTGACCAGGACCACACCCTTAAACGCATTGAAGCAACTGCCATGTGATTGGTTGATTAGATAATTGCATTAATGAGAAATTGAACAGGTGTTCCTAATAATCCTTTAGGTGAGTGTATATATATATATATATATAGGCCTCAAATCACACTGATTAGAATGTGCTCCTCCCGAACTTTGTTAATAAAACATTATTTAATTTCACACATTGGAAAAATTGTGAGGAGTTTTCTAAATTTCTAGTCATTTCTTTCAATAAAAATGCTTTATCAGTGTATCTTTACAACACAACTCCTTTCAGATTCCTGAGTCACAAAATACAGTTAAAAAGAATACATTTACTTTTAAAAATATAAAAATTACAGTGTAAGGCAACTGAAGACCAGGATTATACTGTAAATCCACACTAAAATTATTAGCTCACAGCCCTCAGATTCAGCGTATTTTAGCATCCAACACATTCCTTTTTGCTATACAAAATTGCCTTACAATGAAAAGACAGTTACATACCAACAAAACGGACAGTTCTCCGCAGGAAAGAGTTAAAATTACATCCACCAGCATTGATGCTTCCCTCAATCCCTGGACGGACCTTCAGTTTGGACTGCATACAATACAGCAGACCTTCACCCATCATGATCTGAACACAAGAATTATATGATTGATAATCAAAAATGTTACTTTGGCATATTTAAATATAATTTGAGGATGATTAAATATAGTACATTTATTTCAGATATTAAATGCAGAGAAATATAACTTAAACCTATGGTTGTGTCTTTTCTCTGGAGAAGCAAGTTAATACATTTAAGGTAAATCATTTTTTTCTTTGGAACAATGCACAAGTTGACGTTAATAACCCTGACAGGTCACAAATGTTAGAAATATTTAAACATAAAGTTGTCATGATTGCTATCATCTCACAGAGGCAGCAGGGCCAGCAAATGCCAGACTCAGGAGCATGAGTAGAGGGATGAGCTCATCGCCGCTGTCCACGTAGGGCATGCTGAGTGAACGGTCATGGCAGCGGAATCCCACCAGCGCTGGCTGGAGCACATCCGTCAGTTCCAGGAAGTACAGTGAAACCATGGAGGATGCCACAATGGGTAGCTGTTTTCTCAGGGGAGGGACAGTATGTGTAATTACATGGTAGTTACTAATTTATTACAATGTAATAAATGCAAGAGCCTATTTCAATTTTAAAATGTACTAAATTGCCTACAAACAGATATTAAAGATTGATAATACACAAACATAACATCAGAACACAGTTTGATTACTGTAGAACGACTGAGCCAGATGGCTGTTAAATGTCAACACAGAGTACTACTCCAGGGCTGACAGTGTGGTGGAAGGTATACACACTAACGCACTCAAACTGACTGCTATTATGCATTTTCAATTATGTCTTCAATGAAAATGAGGAGCCCAGTTATTTTGAGTGCGTAATGTAATTACCTGAGACATTAATTGCTCTATTGAAGTATTAAATGGGTAATAATTGATGGCACGTACCTCTACAAAATAGAAGCAGGGTAGCAGTGTCAAACTGTCTTTGGGTGGTTTCTTCTTAAGTTTTTCACATGCAGTCATCATGGTGGTGGTCTTCTGAAGTTATTCTGTCAACACATGAGTTCATTTAAAGGACCCCAAGGCTTGACAAGTGCAGTTTATTTACTGCACCTCATAGCAGTGAACTATGATTAGCTAATTACTAATGCTAATCAGTAGGCGGTATTAGGGAGTGGCACATATTTATTCTAGAGAGCATTTGATTGGACAAATATGTGGATGTGTTTAATGTGGATGTGAGTGAGAGTGTAACATGAGAAAAAAATGCTTAATAGCTTCTTAAATATGTATAGCTGCTCAATTTTTTTAATTCCAATATAGCATATAAAGCATATAAAGATATTACAGACAAGGACAGCCATCTTTAGAGTTTTGTTTTTGAATTTCCGTTTCTGTGATCTTTATATTTCTATGGCTTCGCTGCGTCGAAGAGTAATTACCTGGTGAAGTTTATTTACTTATTGTAGAGTTAACTAAAGTTATCATGAGCAGTGTAATGTTTTAAGTGCAGCGGACGTCATGAGATAGGCCTATATCAGAAGACTGGGAAGATTTTAAAATGAGCGGTTCATTCATAAATCTGTAAGATCTTACCTTCATGCTATGACAATACAAACCAGAAGACAGAACAAAACAAGCACAGTGCCCAAAAGGGGCGGGGCTACATAAGGTATATATAAACAGGTCTATAGCCTATATATCAAAATGCACTTCAAAGGGCATTTTCATTTGATTTAAGATTGAAAATGTATTTTCAAACTTAAATCAAGTTTGGGTAAATGAATACTATATATTTTTTTACATATAATATTTTGCACAATATAAATATATTAAGATTGATAATATCCCCCCAAAAAATCCAATAAATTTATGAGGAAATAAATGTTTGGCCTATAATATTTTTTTGATTCATTTTATTTAAATAGGGACAATGCACAAGTTAACATTAACCTTGTTTAAAAACAAAGAGAGATGCATGGTGCCAGGTTGTAGCACAAGTGCTATTTTCCGCCCGTAGTCCCTTGGCAGAGTAGAATACAAAACATTAAAATATACAATTTTACAACCATAAAATTAATTTACAATATATTTGAGTATTTAACTATATTTTGAAATATAAATGTGTGGTTATCCACTGGAAAAGGCATGCACAAAAATGTTCAAATTATTATTTTCTCATCTGAAACAGAATGAAGCCCTCCTGAATAAATGGATAGCAGTCTGTGTGCCTGAGGAAAATAAATATTAAATAAACAGCTTCTCTCTGAATATTCTCAAAAGAGCATAATGAACAAATGTTGATGTGGGCTATTGTTTGAGCAGGCATTGAGAGAATAGTGTTCCGTGCTCTTTGCCAAATCAACAGTGACTAAACAAGGCACTTGTCCTGAAGACACTCTCCCAACTCTCAAGTGGGAGTGAGCGAGGCTCTGCTGAAATTAGCAGAGAGCCTGTTTTCAAGAGTGGGAGCTCTGTTTATCTCGAAGAGCCGCATGTCTCACAGGCAAAAGATTTCTGAGTGTGTGTGTGTGACTTTTAAGGAAGAATCCATAGGCACTAAGTTCTCTCCAAAAAGACTGTGTTTGTGCTCACACATACTCACAGTGAGAGGCTTTGACTGCAGAGAAAGGTAATTAAACTTGACTGGGTTATCACACGAATCTGTGGGGTAAAGTGAGGTTAAAGAGTGAGCTGTGCAACACTACTACTTTTTGACCCTGGTTTGTCCACAAGAACCCAAGCGAAATTTGTCCACAACACTGCAGAACAAATAGCTATAGGTCGATAAAGATTTGGAGCAACGACAACCAGTCATGGCGAAATCATTGTAGGCCTACACTTGAAGTGAAGTGACCCAGGAAAAATCAATAATGAAATCAGATAAGAATGAGCTAGATCAGTCTCGCTAATGTCCACACATTATGAGAAAAGTCACTGATGATGATTTCAATTACACTGGAAATTTAGACTGACAGTCACATGTAACCTTGATTGTTGTTCACAGAATAGACATTCAATATATATATATATATATACCCTATAAAAATAGGGTACCCTATACTCTATTTACCCCTGCCTTATAATAGGCATATATATAAATATAGGCATATATATATATATAAGTATATAGTTTATTTACTTATCATATATAAAATAATAATAATATAGCTTATATAAGTATACATAAGCTATATATGCAGGGTGGAACAGTGATAACCAAATTAAACAAGTAAATGACAGGAATATAATATGTCTAATAATGATTGTCATAGTGAATTACAGTAGCTAGTGAATTAAATAGTGAGTAGTGCAATAGTGAATTAAATGGCAAGAATTTTTAATCACAAAGGAATTTATCAGTTTCATTATTCATTGATCAGGTGTCAGTTGAACTGAAACCTTGAGAGAATCGTTTCACATAAAGGCTTGAATGACCTGCAGTCGATATCAGTAGGCTATACGTTTACATACATTTGCCTGCCTAAATAATTTTGATTCATACTAGAAAGTGAGACTGAGATTGTGTTTGTTATGTAAAACTGCCGTACAGCCGCGTCACTGCGACACCCTCAGTAGTTATCATTTATCGAAATAATACTACATCTCCACTGGACGCGACGCGACCGTACCCGCACGCGTTTTCTCCCACATAGGCTAGGTTAATTATAATGGCAGCGTTTTTGTCGCGTCGCGTCGGAATTACGTGTTGTTTATTCTTACAGATCTGCTGCTGTTCTTCATGCAGGTAAAAATTTGAGGGAAAAAAAAATCTCACCTTGACTGCGAAAACAGACGATTGTCTGAAAGAACGATATCCTGAGTGAAAAAAAATCCCAGCTTATTCCTTCTTCACGAGGTTATACTGCGGCTCTTTCAGTTCATATTCCTCTTTCTGCTCACGTTTTCCACGGAGCAATCACGAACTCCTGTTATATGCCTGCCTTCTGGAGCCAACCACAATATTCCTCAACTCACTTGAGCTGCTGGTCTGACATCCTACTGACATCCAATATCTGAGGGGCTTCAGTAGCTGTTGGACTCCACACTATTAGAGATAACAATGATTTGTCAGTGCTGCATGAAGCTGCATCAATTGATCTTACTATAAAATCGGTCCATCATCAGTAGTCATCAGGTGTGGCAGCATTCCTGTGCATCTGTGGATCTCCTCCAGCAGTGGTAACATGGTAGCTATTGCACAGGTAACGTGTTTAGAACAGGGTGGAGTGCAGATGGTATGGACTGGTTTATTGGACAACTTATGTCTTGATGCAGGCTGAAAACACACTCGAACACCCCTACACATCATGATGTCCTGTTTGCTGTAATCTTACAAACGGTTTCCCTTTTAGCCGTGTTAGGGACCACAGAATAAGCAGAATAAGCCAAATTACAATTAGCCTGTGGATTGCATGTGTTATATTACTTTAATTGAATGAATATGGATTTAAGAATGTACACAGTTAAAAATGGTGGGTTGTTTTTTTTAACCCAACCGTTGGGTTACACATATTGGGTCACTATGTTGGGTTATTTTTTTTCAAAAACGTTGGGTCATTTCTAGAAATAACCCAACTGTTGGGTTAAATACATATGCTTGTATGTACACTTGTGTATTTTGAATTTATGTAGGCTTACACAGTTATGTATATTTACATTAAATTCTAGACTCCCCGATATTTAATTTGTAATTTTTTATATATAAATGTGGAGACATATTTATTGTTTTATACAAATAAGTAATCTGTATTGAAAACTAAGTGTATTTATTAATGTAATAAATACAAATAAATAGTTAACTTAACTGTTGGGTTACTTTTAACCCAACTGGCTTTTAACCAAATGCATAGTTGTCATTTTCATGCATTCATTTTATATGCATTATAGTTCAGAGGTGACTCAATAAAATACTTGTGATTCATGCAGTATTTATTTTGGCAATATAATAATGTGATTATATAAAAGCTGCGGACCCCCATTTAAAAAGCCAAATGGTCTTGGTAACATATAATTTGCATCTTTCATTAATAACATTAACAAACACTTTCCTCAATAACACCTATCATACATTTATAAATACATTTTAATATAGAAGATATACTACCATTCAAAAGTTTGGGGTTGGTAAAATTAAAATATATATATATATTGATATATATATATATATATATATATATATATATATATATATATATATTGATTGATATATATATATACTTTTCTGTTAAAATATTCTAAAACATTTAATTCTTATTTATTTTCTTATCATTTATTTATTATTTTATTTCTGTGATGGTAAAGCTGAATTTTCAGCATCATTACTCTAGTCTTCAGTGTCACACGATCCTTCAGAAATCATTCTAATATGATGATTTGGTGCTTAAGAAACAAAATAAATAATTGTGCTGCTTAGTATTTTTGTGGATTTTTTGATGAATGAAAAGCTCAAAATAAAATCATTTATTTGAAATAGAAATCTTTTGTAACATTATAAACGGTTTTACTGTCACGTTTGATCAATTTAATGCCTCTTTGCTAAATAAAAGTATTGATTTAAAAAAAAAAACTCTCTATAATTTGATTTTAAATTACCTTTAGGGCATCAGTGATTTTGAGATTTTTTTTTTTTTGCTTGCTTCCAGATGGTCTGAATATGGGGACGAACTCTGGTTGCATTGAGGAAAAAGTGTGAACCCTCAGCAAGCTGCTGCCACTGAAGGCCTGGAGAGATGCCCGATGGCCCTCTGGTCATACCTCTGCTGAGCGTCCCGTGCTGGGATGACCTCTTGAGTCAGAGCCAAAGCACAGTAGCTGGCTGTCACAGTTCTCCTCTTCATGTCCCATTTATTCCCATGGTCAAATCCTCATAATGTCCCTACACTGTAACCAATTGCCAGGAATTTACAGGATTAAAGAGTATTATTTTACAATAAGTAGAAATTGTACAGTGAAATTAATGCATGCTGGGTCATTTTCTTACAAATTACTGTTCATCTACAGCAGAATGATGCTGATATCACAGTAATATACTGCTCTTGTTTTACTGTAAACAGTTTTACTGTTTAACCATGACACTGTAAGAAATTATATTGTTTAGTACTGTAATTGTTTTGATTAATGTTCCATTTGCTTGGGATCTTGGACCTTGTATATTCATATTCAAATGTGTGATCTAGCCAAGTCAGAAGTGTGACAAATGAAACCATTTGTTTAAACAATGCAAAGCTAGAATATAAAATAAGTTATTTGGATGATTTTAAGTTAGTCAAACTATTCTTAGCATTTCGCTTTAGCATTAAGATCTTATTTAAAATTCATAACAGTGCATTGATCTTTCACAGTAGTGAAGCAACTGTCTTTGAAAGGTGTGACATCATCTTGAAGCACAATACTTTTTTTTTATTAGCTTCACCTATGCACATACATCAATACTACAAAACACGACAATGGTGACAAATAATAATAATAATAAAAAAAAGCAGCAGATAAAACCAACAGGAATCAAGAAACTCCACAGCATAATCTATTCATGCCACACTGCATTCTGGGTACTTTCATAGTACATATGCACTGTAGAAATACAATATGATATTCTTTGTTTACAGTAATTTTTTGAGATTGCAGTTATACAAGAGAAGTCCTACTGTGAAAGTAATGCAATTATTAACCTGGAATATACTGTAATTTCACACTAATTTTTTTAAGTGTACAGTTAAATAGTGCTGTTACTGAAGTGGCTGTCTACACTTAAGTGATCATTCTAATAGTCTGTTGTGGGCAGAATCAGTAGGGCATCTTTTGGATCTACTGATGTAACACATGATGCTAATTTGTCTATGAATAAATAAGCATGATGAATATTTAACATGACTGTGTTTGTCAGGTTTAGCACCACCCAATGGTTGTCAGATGACAGACAATTCTACAATTGATATTTCTGAAAAGAAGAATTATCGTTTTAAAATGTTCATTAATACAAATCAGAAGGCAAATCTATTTTATTTATTACAAAAATGTTTATTACATACTACAACATTACAAAAAAAAAATGACATGGTTTCATATTTACAACATCAAAAAAATAAGATATTATTCACTCTCTCCAGCAGACATTGTGGCTGGGAGAACGTCTTGTAGGACATGTTTTCAAGAAAATAAAGATTGCTTCGTTGCACAGATCTATAGGTTAGTTTACAATGAGCTTTAACATTTCCTCACATTTCCAGACGGTGTGGTTCTTATGTTAGTGTGGAGGGGATTCTTCTCCAGAGACCTCCACACAGACAGTTCTTGATCCAGCGCTGCTCCCACTGTCTCATGGCGTTGGTTTTATTTGGGGATCTCAGCATGGTGACACAGCCACACCTAAACAGACCGAAAAGACAAGAGCTCATTGAAGAGTGGTGCTAAATATAGAGTTTGTGAAGGCAGAATCATCATCATATGAGGAGATAAAAGATTTACAGGCCCAACTACCCACAAAAAGCATAGCACATCATAGTCTGTTTACAAGTATTATTATTTTTTGTATCAAAAGTAATTTAAATGGAATTTGTCTTTATTATTCCATCAAACTCTTTTTAGAAGTCAGAAGTTCATATATATATATATATAAATAAATTTAAAGGTACACTATGTAACTTTTGGCTCTCTAGTGGTTAATAAACAAAAATGCATGCATCTTGCGGAAGAACATTGTTGCCGGAGCTACTTCTCTCTGTTAATGTACTGTATATGAGGAGTCACACAGATACTGAGCTACTCCACAGCGGTTGTCGTCCAGCTTGGTCTAAAATAGTGTCAATATAAACACTCCTTATAGGCGTACTGTAGTGATTCAGGCATTTTAAAATATGGCACAAATGGCATTTTTAAATATGAAACTGTTTTTGTTACTAATTTGAATTAATTTTAAATTATAATAAAATTTAACAATATTACAGTATTTTTAATCAAATAAATGCCACCTTGGTGAGCATAAGAGACTTTCAAAAACATCAACTTCAACATCAACTATCAACATCAAACAACAACTAGCACATATATATTCATTTCAGAAGACAAAATAACAATATATACGTTAATTCATATAATAAAATATGTGACATCATAATAATAATTCACAATATAAAATAATTCACATAAATAAATATATATACAGTGGTGGGCAAAATTATTAGAACACTTGGCATATTTAAGAGGTTTCAATTGTTATTTTCCAAGAGGACAATGACCCTAAACATTCTTCTAACTATTGCAGGAACTGCGACAAAAGGAATCTGCTGAAACATTGAAAATGATGGACTGGCCCCGTCAAAGTCCGGACCTCAACCCCATTGAGCAAATTTGGGGTGCGTTGGGAAAAAAAAAACTGGACAGATCTTTTTGTACATTCAAAGGAAAGCCTTTGGCTTCAGTTGCAGAAGGCATGGGATAACAATAGTGTTGAAGTTCTCAGGAAATATATAGACACTATGCCAGAGAGATGTGCTGCTGTAATTGCTGCAAAAGGTAGACATACCAAATATTAAAGTTAAAAGAGGATAAAAACAGTACGACTCACTTCATCTGATATTTGTTGTGCTCAGAGCAACTATCTGGATGTTTCATGAACATTATGAAATTAAATCATGTTTCATGATGATCATTTGTTTCAGGAGGCAAACAAAATGTCAATATCTTCAGATGTTCTAATCATTTTAGCCACCACTGTGTATGTGTATGTATATATATATACACACACACACATACATACATTCATGTGAAAAAGAAAGGACACTTTCTTCTTTAGAATTATTTGTTTTTACGTATTATAATAAAAATCTCCTGGTCGTTAGCAGAGGGTTGTTCCATAAAAGACGCTAAGAAAAGCGGGGATAAACTCCAACACCTGACTTGAATGAACCTAACAAATAAGTTTGGGCTAAAGCGGTTTTATAAAAGATAATTGAAGTTCACGCAATCCCACTAATTTGATCCAGG